GTGAGCCCGCGCCTCGCCGCGCGGCGCGCGGGCGCGCCTTGCTTTATGTCGGGCGTGTCCCCCTACAGGAGGATTTTCGACGAAAAAATAAAAATACCCCAAACATACTCCAAAAAGGCCAAAAGATACTCAACAAATACCCCCCAGACTATTTTTGGAGTATTTGTTTCAGCATGTTTGGGGTATTTTTTATTTTTCGTCGATAATCCCCCTGTAAGGGGACATTCCCGACATAAGCCTTGCTTCGCCAGGACCCCGCATCCGAACAAGAATGCCCCGACGAAGCACCCCGAGAGCAGCTCATTTTGCCTCTGACTCGATGCGATTCGACTTCGATTTTGCCTCCGATTCCGCCTTGATGCGACCTGGGATTCCGATTTCTGGGTTCCGACTTTTGAATCGGAGGCATGCTGGCCTGCCCATGTCCGCCGATCCGATGTTTCCCGACTCGGCTGCCGATATCCGCTGATCCGATTCATTTCGATCGCTGATCCGACTTGTCGATTCGATTTTGGTCTCTCCTGGCATCGGGGCTCAAGAGACGGGGTCAATGCATGCGGGGGTCACTCACAGCGCTGGACCTTTCAGAATCCTGCAGGGCCAGGGGTGCATCGACCCGGGCTCGAGTGCAGGATCCTGCGTGCTCCTGCATGATTCCGCACGGCCTGGTTGACCGGGGCTTGCACCGACCCGGGCTCGAGTGCGTCCCCGGCAGCCGGGTGAAGAAGGTGGTGAAGACGTGTATTCGCATGCGTTCCCCGGTGCAGCATCATGGACGGGCGTGAGAGCACGGCCTCGTGCGCCCGAGTGCATGCTGGACAAGGGGTCGTGGCCGGAGTTGGGGAGAGAGCACGGTTCCGGAATGGGTTGTGAGGAGGTCCCAGGCGAAACGGCGGCCAGACGGGGCGTCCCCGAGCTCCTCGCCCCCCCCCCTCTTCTGCTTTTTTTCGGGGGCGGCAAAGAGGGGGGTGATGACTAGGGGGTGGTGGATATCATGCCGGGGGCAATGATATTTCCCAGATTTCATGGCGCCTCTTCTTATTTCATTACGTCCCTGGCCCCCCCGCTGGGCCGCGCACATGCCGCCGGTCATGATTTGCACCCCCCCCTCTTTGACGCCCCCCTCTTTGCCGCTCCCGAGTTTTGCTATTCTCAGAACCGTGTTAGCGAAGCGCCATCAGGGATCATCCGATGTCTCCTGGATCCAGCCCCAGACGTGCCCGCGTCGTGGGCGATCTTATGGCAGTGGTGGATGGCCCTTTTCGGCCCCTGGGAGCCTTCGCCAGGCCCCGCGGGGCCCTCAGAAAAACGACTCTCGGAATGGACAGCTGGCCCCGGGGAGAGGGCCGGCACGTCCGGTGGACCCCGCCTTGGAGACATCAAGATGTCGCATGTTTGGGGTTGCAGGCCCGATCAACACCTCCGCGGTTATCTCCCCTGCACGGTCCACTTCGATCCGATCTCTGCGGTTCGATATCGGCTCCGGCCGGCCCGATACGATGCGGTCCCGATCTCGGGGGTATCCGATGCGGCCCGATGCGTGCATGGCGCTGCTGTGAATCCTGGCGCCGCTTCGATTCGATTCCGACTCCGTGCGGATGCTGCTTGATTTGATACATGCTCCGATCCCATCAGATTTCCCGCCTGGGTGCTGGCTGATCCTTCTGTTAAGTCGGGCCTGTCCCTCTACAGGAGGAATCTGCAAAAACAGATAAAAAACATAGTGCCGGGACGATGTGTTGACTAGTTTTGTTCGCCTTTTGTTGGAACTGCTTTTTTTTCTTTCTTTTTTTGTCCAACATCCGCCTGTATGGGTCGGGGGTGGACAGAACCCCCAACAGTGACACGCCGATCAGTGAATTGTCAGTTTCCGGTCCTCGAGATGGCGCCGTGGCCGTTCTTTTCCAGGCTTGCGCCCGCCAGGTTTGGGCCTCGGGTCGTTTTCGCTAAACCACGTTTTACTAAAGTCAGAGCGTGAATTACCTACCCCGCTTTCGCTTCCAGGCAAAACCAAGCCATACCACGCGCCTCCTTGTCAAGCGGCCTGACCAGTACAGGCCGTAGTTTGGCCTCGTTTGGTATCTCTTGGAAGCGAGGGCGGTCAAAAGCGAGGTAGGTTTGCTTTCCCCTATAAAGGCGGGTCTGTCCATCCCCGAACGGGGGACACGCCCGACTGCGTCCTCCTGCCCTGTACAGACCGCCCGCCGGGCCGGCGACCCTGGCCCCGGGGGCTCACCAAGAGCGGCCGCCCGGCGGCCTCCCGCCACGGCGCGGGGCGAGGGGCGGCCGAGCCGGTAGGCCCCCCCCCCCCAGGGGGCCGGCGGCGGCCTCCCAGACCTCGGGCGGTGGAGGGGAAAAGACGCACAGACACAATGAGTCGTCGATCTGCAGGAAAGTATGGGAGAATATAGGAAGTGGGGGGAGGAAGAGCACCCAGATCAGATTGGAACAGGTGTGGTATCCTGGGATTTGTGTGTGTATCTATGTGTGTGCATGTGTGTGTGTGTGTGTGTGCGTGTGTGTGTGTGTGCGTGTGTGTGTGTGTGTGTGTGTGTGTGTGTGTGTGTGTGTGTGTGTGTGTGTGTGTGTGTGTGTGTGTGTGTGTGTGTGTGTGTGTGTGTGTGTGTGTGTGTGCGTGTGTGTGTGTGTGTGCGTGTGTGTGTGTGTGTGTGTGTGTCCGTGGGCCCCTTCAGAAGCGTCTTGACTTGCCGTTCGGCCCACTCTAGGATGTTCTGAGCACCTGGAAGTGTTTTTATAATAGTTCTGGCTGGGGCTGTCTTGTTTTAATGCATCGGCCGTGTGTTCTAAGAACAGTGTGTCTGTTTTTCGACGTTTTTATTGGTTCTAAGAGCATTTCGCGCTAGGCCTGTGGGAATGCCTGGACGGTTGGTCCCTGCTCAAAGACTTCCTCGCGTCGAAAACAGGGACGACAGGAGGTGCTCGGCAACTTTCGGCTCAGGTCGAGCCCTCGGGAGGGGTCCGGGACCGACTTTGAACTTCGAGAGCAGGCTTGGGCCTGGCGGGGGAGCCGCCGACTTTCGGCTCGGGTCGAGGCCTCGGGAGGGGTCCCGGGACCGACTTTGAACTTCGAGAGCAGGCTTGGGGCTGGCGGGGGAGCCGCCGCCACCGCCCATGGCCCTCCTCTCCTCGGGTCCTCTAGAGAGGGCCCCCCTGCGGGGAGCCCCGAAGAGCCTCTTTTCTGCAGCCCCTCGCTGCGCCCCCCCATCGCCCCTCCGTTGCGCGGCGCCCAGCTTCCCCGGAGCTGGATCGATGTAAGTCGGGCATGTCCCTCTACAGGAGGAATGTCAAACAGAAATCAAAAACAGTTACAATAAAATAGTCTGGGGACGATGTTTTGATTATTTTTCTGGGCAGTTTCGGAATCTTTGTTTGACATTATTTTTTTTTCGGGGGATCCGGCGGCTCTGGCACTCCTCTGGCCTCAGGCGCTGGCGGCGCCGCCCCGCGCGCCCCTCCTGCCGCTCCCGGGAGCGCGCGGCGGCGAGGGGCGGTTATTGCGAGTTGTTCTGAGACGGAGCCAGGACGAGGATGGAATCGAGTGAGGCTGTAATCAAGTGAAGAGAGCGTCTGAGCTCCGGCGGTTCTGGAGGATGCCTCCGACGCCGCGGCCTTCTCAGAGCGCTCTGAGAGCGTTCCGGAGCGCTTTGGAACGGATTAGCCCGCGTCTCAGCCCAGTCGGTTTTATTCAGGGGAGGAGAAATCCCCCCCAGCCCCATCATTGGCGTTTGCTGAAGAGCCCTGGGCGTTTACTAAACAGCCCTGGTGTTCGAGTCCTGCCTTGGGTGTGTTCACTCAAATGGCTTGACCCCCCGAACGAGTGTGAGCTTGCGACCATCGTGGAAATTATCTGGTGGGTCCGGAGCCTCTTGGATGCATATGAGGGGCTCTTGGGATGCTTCTCAGGGGCATCTTGGAGGGACATTCGTGGCGCATCTGGAGGGCTTTGGGGGGCTTGGTGGCCTTCGGGGGGGCCTATGGAGGGCCCCTTCTGCCCTGAACCACGGCTGCCCTGGGTGCGTTTACTAAACGGCTTCGCTAGTCGGGGTGCTTATTGTGAGGGTGGCTGGTCTGCTCCCCAGCTATCAGTGGCGCCGCCCCCTGACCACCCCGCCGGCAAGAGCGGCCGAGCTGGCTAGGCTCCTGTGTCGCTGCGGCGGCAGCAAGAAGGAACAAACAACTTTCCGTGGCACCGATCGGACGTGTGCAGTTTTCCTTGGCGAGTAAACGCACGACACCGAAAAACGCACGAGGAATTTACGTCCAAGCGATGGTGAGGTTCTAGTTGACTCAGGGGAGGGCGAGTCGAGACAACAGCAGTTGGCCTTCGCCACGGCTCGACGCAGCTCGGGAAATTGGTGCGTTTGGACCCCGCGAGGGGTCCAGGGACAGATTTTGAGCTGCCGAGGTTACCAGGCTCTTCTCATTCCGCCTGTCATCCTTATCATTCCCGTCCGTACCCTGTTGCACATGGACCTATCAGTTGTTGGTTTTGAGTTCGACCGTTGTTCATTTAACGCGCAGCGTTTGTGTGAAGTTGCTCAGCTGGCGGTCCACCGCATGAGAAGCCGCCCACAGGTATATAGCACGGGCTTGTACCAGGCGAGCCCCGGAAGTAGCCCAGGTCACCCTGCGTTGTCGCACCGACGGCACATTCCTGAGCATGTGCTAGATACCTGTGCACTTTCTCCGTCGGCGGCGAGGCGGAGGCAATGCGCACCAGCGTTGGGGCAATCGAGGCAACCGATCGGCAGATATGTCCGGCAGGCAAGAGAGAGAGAGAGAGAGAGAGAGAGAGGCGAAGACGAGGGTGGCCGCGCGAGGGGTGGAGGGGGAGGGGAGACATCTACACGCTTGCGCACATACGTCAAAATCCCTCCCACCTGCCCCCTCGGCCCCTCCGTTCCTGCCCCAGCCCATCGGGCCCGCGGCCTCCCCTCCTGCCCCCGCGGCCTCCTCGCTCGACCTCGCCGCCCCGCCAGTCCGAGAGATGAGCCCGCCCCGGAACGCCGAGCCGCTGAAGCTCGAGAGCAAGGCCCGCCTCTCCCGGCGGGGGCCCGGCGGCGTCGGGCGGGCGCGAGCTGGTCGGAGGAGAGGAGCGCACGAGCGATTCCTCGCGCGTCGCGAAGTCGCGACGCCCAGACCACGCAGAGTCTCCACTCGGTGTGGCGGCTCCCGGGAGCCTCCCGGGAGCTCCTTGGAGGCTTCTCGGGGGCCTCCTGGGGAGCTCTTGGGGGCGCCTCCTTGGAGCCTCTTGGGGTCGTCTTGGGGGCCGTCTTGGGGCGCTCTTGTTGGCCGTCTTGGGGGCCTCCCGGGGCCGCCTTGGGGCTCTCGTGGGGTTGTTCTGGGCCGTTTTGATGGTTTCTTAAACCGTCTTGTGGGTCTATTTGGGCCATCGTGGGATACTCTTGGGCCGTCTTGGGGGCCACTTGGGCCGAATGGGGGCCATCTTGGAAACTGCCTCGGCCGTCATGGACCCCTCCAGAGCCCAGAAATGAGACAACTCCAACATCTGTCTGAAATCTACAAGTCTGTCAAACACCCGTGGAACTAAAACAGGTGTTTGTCATCTGGAGGCGCTCCTGGGGGTCCCCTTGGGGCCCTCAGTGGTCACCTTGTGGGCCCTCTTGGGGCCATATTGGGCCGTCGGGCCATCTTGGGGCCGTCTTGAAGCCATCTTGAGCCGTCTTGAGGCCTCCTCGGACCCCCTAGGAAGCCCGGGAGGCCAACATAAGTGGTGTTCCTCGTGTTTGGTAGGCTTGAAAGTGAGGGTATAGGATTGTCTGGATGGGTCGCCGGCTCGGTGGGGGCCACTGGGGGGCATTAAGGGGATTGTCTCGCAAATGATAATATATAGCACCCCGCAATTGCGGATAAGAGTGAGGGGGCTGGCGCGGGCGACGCGGGCGTCGTCAAGCCGGCGGACCTCGTGGCCCCCACTTTCTTTGTCGATGGCGCTCTCCTCCTCCTCCTCCTCCTCCTCCTCCTCCTCCTCTTCCTCCTCCTCCTCCTCCTCCGCCTCCTACTCCTCCTCCTCTTCCTCGTCCTCGTCCTCGTTCTCATCGTCATCGTCGTCCTCCTCCTCCACCTCGTCCTCCTCCTCCTCCTCCTCCTCCTCGTCCGCTTCTTCCTCGTCCTCCCTCTCCCCCCCTCGTCCTTCCATCATCGTCCTCCCATTGTCGTCATGTTCCTCCTCGTCGTCCTCCTCCTCTTCCCCCCCTCCCGATCCTCCACCCTCCTCCTTTTCGTCGTCGTCGTCGTCGACGTCGACGTCATCGTCTCCTCCTCCTCCTCCTGCTGCTCCTCCTCCTCCTCCTCCTCCTCCTGCTGCTCCTCCTCCTCCTCCTCCTCCTCCTCCCCCTCCTCGTCCTCCTGCAAAAGCAGCCCGCCGCAGGCGCCGAAAAAATTGGTTTGTACACTGAACGTGGTTTGGGTCGCGGGTGGGCCGCGGGTTCTCCACCGGGAACGAATGCAAAAGATGCTCGCCGCAGGCGCCGAAAAAATTGGTTTGTACCCTGAACGTGGTCGCGGGTGGGCCGCGGTCTCTCCACCTAGAACGATTCAAAAGATGCCCGCCGCAGGCGCCGAAAAATGTGGTTTGTACCCTGAACGTGGTTTGGGTCGCGGGTTGGTCGCGAGTTGATCGCGGGGTGGGTCGCGGGCTCTCCACCTGGAAGGAATGCAAAAAAAGCCCGCCGCAGGCGCCGAAAATGTTGGTTTGTACCTTGAACGTGGTTTGGGTCGAAGGTGGGTCGCGGGTGGGTCGCGGGGTGAGTCGCGGGTGGGTCGCGGGTGGGTCGCGGGTGGGTCGCGGGCGGGTCGCGGGGTGGGTCGCGGGGTGGGCCGCGGGCGGGTCGCGGGGTGGGTCGCGGGTGGGTCGCGGGTGGGTCGCGGGGTGGGCCGCGGGGTGGGTCGCGGGGTGGGTCGCGGGTGGGTCGCAGGGTGGGTCGCAGGGTGGGTCGCGGGGTGGGTCGCGGGGTGGGTCGCGGGGTGGGTCGCGGGTGGGTCGCGGGTGGGTCGCGGGTGGGTCGCGGGTGGGTCGCGGGGTGGGTCGCGGGTGGGTCGCGGGGCGGGTTGCGGGTGGGACGACGACAACAAACAACAACAAACAACAACAACACAACAACAACAACAACAACAACAACAACAACAACAACACGAATCCGCACCGCGGAATCTCACTTCAGCCACGCACCCAGGGACAATGAATGACCGTTCGGCCCCCTCACTCTGATATGTCAACAATTGGCAAGTTGGCTTCCTTGGGGCATCGTGACTGGGCCCTTGCGTCGGACACCCATCCTTTCGGAGTGCCGAGACGCTTCGCTGCAGTCAAGACGTAGATTCATCTCGCGTCGCGGGGTGCACGTCGGGAGCACGTTAGGATTGGTCGTTGAGTGGTTTGCCCTGCTCGTCGACCGCGCTGTTCTGCCGTGTCTTTGTGCCCGCCCCAGGGCGTTGTCAGCGCCACGGGGGGCGGAT